GCTGTTTTCATTATTAATAATTCTAAGAAGGCTGATGAAAATTTAATGTGGTAGAAGAGTATATAATTCAACATACAACTACCTCTTGGCATTTATTCTTCTTCTGTCAGGTTTTTTATAGAAGATTTTCCTAGAGCCTTTCAGAGAATCTTTCTCAGAGGGTAAGATCATGGGTGATGCACTTGAAGCACTGAGGTTAGTTTGGACACACTACTGTTCATTGCTGCTGTGATTTTGTTGTTGTGAAATGATTTTCCTTTGCAGTGTAATGTTCTGGAGCTTCCATGAAATCAACTGATAATTCTTTAAAGGAGAGGAAACCAGTTTATATTAGAAGTTCTGAATTATTTCAAGCAAATTAATATATTTTTAAAAATAAATTTTAAGTTTTTTCTTAGAACAATTTTGCTACATTCAAAATGTATCATGATCTGTAAAACTGAAAATCATGAGCATTCTATTTTTAATTTTATTTTCATCACTCTCAGTAGATACTTGGTTGAATAACTGTTTCCATGAACTGTAGTTTTCCGAAATCCCCCCAATAATTTGTCTTTCTCATAGTAAGGCACCTAAATGGCATGTTAGATACATTGAAATACTGAGAATATGTGGCCCAATTTATAATTGTTCCCATGCATTTCCAGGAATAAACAAAGATGAATTAAATAAACTAAAGGGTGTGTATCTCATTCTCTGAAGACTCCGAGCTAAAAAGAACAATCTCAAAAGGAGATTGGCACATCCTTATACTGCTATTTACAGAGCTGTCATTTACTGAGGGCTTTCTATTTGCCAGACACAATGCTAAACACTTTATATAGTTTTTTTTAATTGAATAGTGCTTCAATCTCCATTTAAATATTTGACATTTTCTCATTTTACAGAAAAGCAGACTGAGATTTAGACTGCAGGAAGAGGCTTAGAAATTGTGAAGCGAATATTCAAATCCATACCCTGATTCTACAGCCAAGCTTTTAAACATTCTTCTTTCTATCCTGTATAAATTGGACATCCCTATATGTAAAAGTTGAAAATTTGGATATGTTCTGTGATTCTTACTGACTTATAACATAAATTCAGGATGCTCTCATCATTACTACCTGGAGTATGTATGAATGCACGGCTTTTAAAGATTGTTCCCACCACTGTCTTTTCTCACTTATGATATTTATGCAAAGGAATATGTTTGCAAGATAAGCACCATATAGACATATTGGGCAGAAATGATGATGTAAGTTTACTTAGACATTCCAATACTAAGATATTATTTGTTTTATAACATAATGCCATTTTCATCAAATTGTGCAGGATATATCACTTCAATATCACTAAAGGAGCTGGACAAGCCTGCAATTTAACAGCTTACTCCTGAGCAATTTTTAAAATTTATTCTAGCATTTCTCCTTTTCTTAGTAATATAAAGCATGCCCTAAGAAAGAATAGTTTCAGAGAATCAATACTTTTTAGAGATGGTATAATTAGTACTCTATTACGATCAGAATTTGTTTTACCTTCCTACATAGAAAGAAAAAAATCCATGGGAAATTAGATAATGTAAAATATTGAAGCAATTTTAGGTAAAAAATATTAGTACTACGCAAATGGAGATATATAGCCCACTGCAAATTATGGATAATTTGATTTAACTTTGATCAAAGTTTTATATAAAAGTTGTCATGTGTTTTTCAAAAGAAAAAATTGGATGCAACCAGACTACTGCATCTTAAATCAAGTCAAAAATCTTTCTCAAAGTACCTACTGTTATATTCTTCAAAGTCAAATGGTGCTTATTTATTAATAAAAATGTGTCCAAGTATAGAAAATGGATCAGGAGAAATACCGGGGGTTAAGAATCTACCGTGGTATTAGTCATCTCCCTTTTAAGTCACCTTCTCTGCGAAAATCTTTCTGATTTCTTCCCCTTCTTCTTCTTCTCCCTCTTCTTCTTCTTCCTCTTCCTCTTTTTGTTCTTTCTTTTTCTTCTTTCTTCTTCTTCTCCATCTCCTCCTTCCCCTTCCCCTTCCCCTCTCCTTCTCCCTTTTTCCTTCTTCCTTCTTTCCTTTCTTCTTCCTTTTTTCCTTCCTTCTTCCTTCCTTCTTCATTTATTCTTTTTCTCTCTCTCTCTCTTTCTCTCTCTCCAGGCCCACATATCTACACGCATTTATGAACATACACATCAAAAAAGCATATCTAATTCTATGTGCATATATATGCATACTTTAAAAATAAAGTTCTTAATTAATTGGAGTATAGCAGAAAAATATATCTTAAGCAGCAGTTCAGTGAATGTTCACAAGTTAAATGCCCACACTGACCGCCATCTGGATAAATAAAAGAACATTAACAGCACTCCAGAAGCTTCCCTCTTCTTGATTCTTGATCATTATTCCAACAGCAAACAGTATAGGTTAGCTTTACCTGTTTCTGAATTTCACATAAATGGGATCATACAAAATGTATTATTTTGTTATATGGCTTCTTTCATTTGTTCATGAGGTTCATTCATGTTGTTGCAAGTCATATTTCAAGTATTTAATTGATGTATTGTTTTTCATTACATGAATATGCTACATTTATCTATTCCATTCTTGATGTAAAATTAGGTTATTTTCAGTTTTGGAATATAAATAATGCAGCTATGAAAATTCTTCTATATATATTTAGAGGTGTGTGTGTGTGTATATGTGTCTATATATATAAATATATATATATATGTATTTTATTGGGCATATATCTAAGAGAAAATTACTGAGTCATAGGGAATATGTATGTTCATTTTAGTTGATATGGGTTTTCCAAGTGATAGAACCAAGTTACAGTCTCACTAGCAGTGTATGAGAGTTCCAAATCTTCCACTGCCTTGACAATGCATGGTATTATCTATCTGTTTAGTTTTAGACATTTTGTGGATCCATCATATTATATCATTGCAATTTTAAGTTGCTTTATCTTGATGATGAATAAAGTAGAGAATGTTTTTATATGTCTATCGAGTATTTGCATACCCTTTTGTGAATTATGCATTCAAGTGTTCTTTCCCATTTTTCTGCTAGGTTTGTCTTTCCTTTTATCCTTATTTGTACAAGTTTATTATATATTCTGGGAATTAGTTATTTTTCATAAAATCTTTAAAAATTTTTTCTTCCTGCTCTGTAATTGACCTTTTTATTTTCTTAATGGTGTTTTTGAGGAACAAAGTTAATTTTAACATAATGCAATATATTAGTCTGTTTTTATGGTTAGTGCCTTATGCCCTATTTACAAAATTTTCACCTACCCAAAAGTCATGCGGATATTTTCATGTAAGTTTTAGATACTTTTAAAAGCCTTTTTCTAAAATAAACTTTTATATTTACATCAACAGGTCATCCATTGTAGGATGTAGGGGGTCAGTTTTTACTTTTTTCCCTTGTATGAATATCCAACTGACCTGGCACTTACTACTTAAAAGACCACCATTTCTCCAAACTGTAAGCTCTATTTTATATATCTATTACTTTGCTAAATTTTTTCAAGTCTCTTCTTCCTATGTTTTTCATAAATCCCTTTTCATGCTTCTTGCAGTATGTCTATCAATGATTTTATTTTTTTCTCCCATTTTCCTTAGCTCTGCCAGTATACTATTTATCTTCTTTAAGCTTATTTGTCTATTAATTGAATTATTTTTTGAAGAGGCTGTTTTTTATAATTTGTGTACAATTTTTACCTGCTTCTGAAGAGTATTCTTAAGTTTGCAATATTTCTTTCTCCTTATTCATTAGAATATTTGCAGACATCTAATGCTGCTGCTAGCCTTTTTTCTCCTTTTCCACCTATTTTTCCTCATCCTACCTTTTTTCTTCTTTTTCTTATTCATAATAACTTGAGTGGGTATAATAAAGGCTTCTTAATTAACTGGCAGAGAAGGAAGAATCAGCTGGCAGTTTGAATTTTGTCCTCATAACTACATTTTTTAAAATTTTTGTTTCTGCCTGAACTAGTGAATTTGTTCTAGACTAGCAGAAAGCCTTTTAGTTTCATAAGGATGTAACACATTTCCATTTTGGATATGATACTTTACATCAGGAGTGTAGATCAGTGTAGTTTCTGTTCCACCTTATCTTACCAAGAACTTACTCGATAAAAATGGTAAGTTTGGATGCTACATAAAATTTAAGACTCCTCTGGCAAATAGCTTCGTATTGTCATTCCAAACAACAGGTCATTGGTTTTCCTCCTTAGGGTGAATTGCTCATTTTGGAAGATTCATACAGTATCCATTCTGTGTCACTCCTTCTCTGTAATCTGTTATGGGGTTACGGACATAGTCAATTCTTGTTTTATTCATTGCTGGAGGTTTGTTTGCAATCTTTGAGCCTATGAACCTGACATTTATGCTCTCACTCAATATGGAAATCAAAAAGTTGATTGTATAGAGCTAGAGAGTGGAATGTTGGTTACCAGGGGCCGACAGACTTGGGGAGAAGGGTTGGGGAGGTTTCATCAAATGATACCACATTTCAGTTAGATAGGAGGAATAAAGTCAAGCGATCTAGTGTGACATGATGAGTATAGTTAATAAAAATATATTGTATTCTTTAAAATGCTAAAAAATAGATGATGAATGTTCTTACCACAATAATAACTATGTAAGGTAATGAGTATATCAACTGCCTAGACTTAATCATCCCACTATATATATATGAATATATATATATATGATTGAAGTATACATATATATATATATATATATACACACACACACACATATATACATATACTTCAAAACATGCGGTACCTAAGTACATGTTAAGTATATATAATTTCATCTACCAATTACAAATAATAAAACTATTTTAATGTTTTAAAAATATAAATATTGCAAACCATTTTTACTATGAAAAACAATACCAAAACTTTATTAAATATTTTTATTTGGATGCTTTAGTTTAGTGCTGGTTTTCTTTTAAAATTAATCCTGTTTTCTCCTTTATTTTATTTTATTTTTTACTTTTCAGATGCAACAACTGTTCCATGAAAATTATGAACACAATCGGAAAGGTTACATCCAAGATCTTCACAATAGCAAAATCCATGCAGCCATAACACTTCATCCCAACAAAAAGCCTGCGTACCAATACAGGCTGCATAATTACATGCTCAGCCGCAAAATTTCTGAGCTTCGCTACCGCACCATTCAGCTCCACAGGGAGAGTGCCCTGATGAGCAAGCTCAGTAACACAGCAGTGAGCAAAGAGGACCAGCAGCTAGGAGTAATACCTTCTTTCAACCACTTCCAGCCTCGGGAGAGAAATGAAGTGATAGAATGGGAGTTCCTCACAGGGAAGCTCCTTTACTCAGCAGCTGAGAACCAGTCCCCTCGACAGAGCATCAGTAGCATTTTAAGAACAGCACTGGATGACACCATCCTACAGGTGATGGAGATGATCAATGAGAATGCCAAGAGCAGAGGACGGCTTATTGACTTCAAGGAAATTCAGTATGGCTACCGCAGAGTTAACCCCATGCATGGGGTGGAGTACATTTTGGATTTACTCCTTTTATACAAAAGACACAAGGGAAGGAAATTGACTGTGCCAGTGAGACGTCATGCCTATCTTCAGCAGTTGTTCAGCAAGCCTTTCTTCAGAGAAACTGAAGAGCTAGATGTCAACAGTCTTGTGGAGAGTATTAATAGTGAAACTCAGTCATTCTCATTTATATCTAATTCTTTAAAGATATTATCTTCTTTTCAAGGTGCCAAAGAAATGGGAGGGCACAATGAAAAGAAAATACACATTCTTGTCCCTCTCATTGGAAGGTATGACATTTTCTTGAGATTCATGGAGAATTTTGAAAACATGTGTCTTATCCCAAAGCAGAATGTAAAGTTGGTCATTATCCTTTTCAGTAGGGATTCTGGCCAAGATTCCAGCGAGCATATTGAGCTGATAAAAGGATACCAGAACAAGTACCCCAAAGCAGAAATGACCCTGATCCCAATGAAGGGAGAGTTTTCCAGAGGTCTTGGTCTTGAAATGGCTTCTGCCCAGTTTGACAATGACACTTTGCTGCTATTTTGTGATGTTGACTTGATCTTCAGAGGAGACTTTCTCCAACGATGTAGAGATAATACAATTCAGGGACAACAGGTGTACTATCCCATCATCTTTAGCCAGTATGACCCAAAGGTAGCAAATGGGGGAAATCCTCTCACTGATGATTACTTTGTATTCTCAAAAAAGACTGGATTTTGGAGAGACTATGGATACGGAATCACCTGTATTTACAAAAGTGATCTTCTGGGTGCAGGTGGATTTGATACCTCAATACAAGGCTGGGGACTAGAAGATGTAGATCTCTACAATAAAGTCATTCTATCTGGCTTAAGGCCCTTCAGAAGTCAAGAAGTAGGAGTGGTGCATATTTTCCATCCAGTTCATTGTGATCCTAACTTGGACCCTAAGCAGTATAAGATGTGCTTAGGATCCAAGGCAAGTACTTTTGCCTCAACCATGCAACTGGCTGAACTCTGGTTAGAAAAACATTTGGGTGTCAGGTACAATCGAACTCTCTCCTGACAGTGCAGGCAAAACATTTTGCCTTTTTAAAGGGGAGTTTACCTCATTGTCTGTTGTTATTATTTTTATTTTAATATTGTTATTTTTATTATTATTATTGTTGTAATTTTATTTTGTTGTCCTGGTCTTAAACTACTCTTGGTTGTCTTCCAAAGGGTGTTTGTTGACCTCAAGCAAGAAGAGTCTGCAGTTCACTGATGTTTCAGATTTCTACTGAAGTCAATATGTGTTATTACTTTTATATATCTTTATTTGAGATTGAGTTAAATCATGGCAATCAAATGACTTTTGAAGCTCATTCATCACAAGAGACACCTCTGAAGAGTGTTCTCTTGGGGCTTAAAGATGCAATATAGACTTTTATTTGGTTTCTCAAATTCAATGTGATACAAATATTTACTGGTGAAAGGTACCACAAAAGTGCTTTATGCTTCCTATGGGGAAGGGACTCTGTAACATAAACTTGAGTTTTGTAATTTATACAAGGACTTAAATATATAGACAATAATTTTCTTCATCTTTAGAGTTTTTAAAGTAAATGAACACCTATGATTGTATGTTTATTTTTTAAAAAAAAGTTTTAAAAATTGAGGAGTTTTGTTCCACAAGCAACCGGTACTGGCTACCCTGGTCTTACGACAACTATGAGCTCCTCACAACTGTCTGCTATAAATGCGAATGAACTTTATTTTCTCAAGGAAATATGATTTAATTAAATATTCATGTACATTTTAGAAGCTTTATGAAACAATGTCCTTCATTTGCTGGCAAGAAGATAAAATATGACAGAACCTGTTTATTTATAATAAAACACAGGTATAGCAGTATTCTTTTTCAAAAACACTGAAAAGGTTTTGTTGGTTCCTTTTAGTCATACTTGATATGTTTCTGTTCATATTCACCAAAACATGCTTGCTGAGCAGGCTTGAAAAGTTAACAAGGGATTATGGTATGTTGTTTGTATTATTATACTGGAAACCCTAGCCTTCATAAGTGATTAAAATGAGCAATTTCTTTACTCAATAATTTACAATCTGGGAGAAGCATCCTTCCTCAATCTCTTCAGCTTTGGGATCAAGCTGACCCAAGAACAGTTCGAAAATTGCCTTTAATATGGGTTGGAAGGTATCTCAAAAGTCTCTGAAGAAAATATGAATATAACATCAACTTTACAATTATTAAAAACACTTCAGGAAATCTCATTTAATTTCACATATCATTCTTTCTTTGACCTGGATCAGTGGTGTCCAGTTTCCAGAAAAGTGTAATTGAGGTAAAGAAGTGTTAAGAGAAAGTGAGCATCCATGCAAAGGAGTGTCATTAAGGCATATTTAAAAAATCTTATTTCATAAATAGGTAATACATTTGCATGGTTCCAAAATCAAACAAAATTTTTTAAATGCCTAAAGCTGTTGACCCCACTCCTCATCTACCCATATCTGTCTCCTGACCACACATAACCACTGTTTGGCTTTGTGAGTGTTGTGTACATGACTTTCTAGTTTCTGAAGCACAGATTTTTTTACCCTCTATACACAAAATGTAGTATATTACACATATTGTTCTGCACTTTGATGTTCTGTTTCTACTTAATGAAGAAATAATTTGCATCAAAATTGATTTCAAAGTGATTTGTTGTAAATCGTTGCCATTATTTTTAACTGAATGCCATGAGGCCACGTATTATTTGCCCTGATGATGAGTTCCTTACATGTTGACAACCTGTTTTACTAAAGACATTTTGGGAGCCTTAACAAATAGCACTGCTTAATATTAAGACAAACAGGATGGCAGTCTCCTCAACTATAACTTATAATCTTAATAATGTCAAGTTCATTAGAAAAAAATTAATCACATTTTGAGATGTTAAAATGCTCATATTGACAGGGCCAACAATTCAAACTGATCTCTGCCCTAATATTGTCTCTGGCTTTCACAAACCCTCACTTTAATCGCTTATTTTCCTATATTACAAGACTTAGCTCTCTTGCAGGCTTTATTTTCCTGAACAGTAAATATATTAACATTCAGTAAACATAGTCATTTGGGAAGCGCTATTACCAAATAGTATTAATTATTTTGTTAATGAAGAAAATAAATCAGTGACTGATCTGCAACTCAGACAAATGAAATATGAGGGAGTTTTGCAGAGGTAATAAATGTAAAGCCCTAGTTTAAAACATTCCAAGACTTAGAGCATTAGGAAGCAGCTGCCAGGGGAAGAAATGGCATTCTGTATTATATGATGAAATCATGCCGATGAAACAAGGGAATGCAGAGACTTTGAACTTAATTACACATGTACACACTATACTGTTAGTATAGGCGCATTTAAAATCTATTATATAATTTTGCATTCAGCCTTCATATAATCTTTTTCAGGCAATGCAGTATTACGTGACTGAAAATACAGGGAGAATGATGTTAGTAAAATCGAGTGTTTTTCTATCCATGTGGTATCAATTTCCTAAAGCTTCTACGTTTGAAGGGCAACACACTATATGAATGCAACCAAAAAAAGCACAATATATGGAGGTGCAGTAGTCCATACATTGTGGTGTTACCTTATCTGGATGGCTGTAGATGTTCTGTTTCAATGTCACCCCAAGAATCATTTCATCAGCCTTCAATGTCATCTTATTCATCATCTGCTGTCCACTCAGCACCACACTATGCATTTTATTTTTAAGTTTAATTCTCAGAACAGCTCTCAGAATATCAGTATTACTTTCTTCATTAAACAGATATGGAAGCTGAAGCCACACATGGTTAAGTAACTTGTCCCAGATTCATACAGTTGGCATGCTGTAGAGTTAAGATTTAAGCAAAAGCCTGTCTGAATCTGAAGTGCCTGTTTTTTCACTCTACCACATGGCTTCTCCATTGCTGGAGGGAGATACAAAACAGTGGGGAAACAAAGGGATTCCTGAAACCATGTTCCTATGAGATCCACTATTCAGCTTGCTCCTGCTGAATGCCTTTTCTGTACAGAGCTAAATTTACATGTTTGCTCAGTTAAAGCCTCTTCAGGCTTTAATCTCAGGTGTCTACCACTTTGCTAGATCCTTCTGTGTACCATTGTGTCAGGGAAGGGTAGGGTTTTTCCGTCTACCTGCTCAAACATCGCTGAACTTCAGCCAGGAAAAAACTGTCCAGAATTTCTGATGCCAACAATACTCCTTCTATATCATCTCAGCACCTGAGTGTCGAAACTGTCCACGCTGATGAACACCACCAAATTATTGCTTGACTATTTCTGTCACTTTGCCCATATGGACTTGTTATAAGCAATGTTGCCAATGCTGAAATAGTTATGAATATAGGAGTTGAGTCCATTATGCCTAGTTAATAGATAGGGAACTACAGGAAGGAAACACCCAAATGTGTAGACTGATAGCCCAACCAAGAGAATAAATATTCCCTGGAAAGGTAAGTTATGAAGTTGCTCAGTTTTTAGCATATGAAACCTGGAGGCCATCTCTAGATAGCAGCCCCATGGCTGGGCCTCTCTCATTTCATTTTCAGAGGAGACCTGGAAAGTTCTTTCTTCTAGGAGTAGCAGTCACTAGATGAAGTTCCCTCCTAATGGTTTCAGATTGCTCAGGTGAGAGGCTGTGGGTCTGCCTGCGCTGTTCAACCCTCAGCGAGGACTTCCTTGTCCTGGGGGCTATATTCTAAGGTAGACCTGGATCTAGAAAGAGATTGTTGTCTCTCTTCCTTTTCTCTTCATACACAACAGAAAATATGCCTATGCAGATAAAATATAAATAATCAACAAAATATTCGTAGCTCCATATTGACCTTGATAATAAGATTTATATGGGGAAATAAAGGTTTCAACATGTTTTACATTATATGGCCAAGCTACATTTATTATCTTGCCACCTCCTCCTTTCTAAGTCACTGCACCTGTGGCCCTGCAACTTACAGGAACCTCATGTGCCTTATCCTAGCAATGTCTATCATGATTTCAGGTAATCTGAAGAATTGTCCACTTAATCTCTCATTTGTGCTTAATTATTAATGGCACATCTCTTCAAGATGTAGCCTGCGATTATGGATATTACAGAGTGAATGGGAAAAATGGTGTCCTGAGGGACAATAAAATAATTTGTTATCAGTTCTTAGTGCTGCTGACTTTCCTACCTTCCCCATCCATACTGTTATTAGCATTTAATTCCTGCCGAACAAGTGTTGGAGTATTCTGCCTGTGCTGAGGCCAGGAGCCTCCTAGACCTTTATTTTCAACCAGTGGAAATAGTGGTGCCAGATTGGTGCCTGTGTTGTTCTGCCTCTGTCTGCCCCACAGCCTCTTTCACATGCTGGCTGTGCTGCCAAGCTTGTCGCGACAGATGGTTGGAATGATTTGAGGAACCGGCAATGATTCATGCTCCCAGGTGGTTATACAGTCAGCATCTGCATCAAGCAACAAACTACTTGGCACTAGCACAAAGTACCAGGATATTCTATTGTCAACTTCAATTTGACACCCAGTTGTCCATTTCCCTCTTCCTTTCTGATCTCAAAAGCTGCCAAGGTCTAAGACATATGTGGAATTCTACTCCATGCAGGATTTTATTTCAATCAAATTCAGTCAATAAGTACTGTATTCATAGGTTGGTGTCAATGCTGAGATTCTTCGGTTTTGTTATCCATTATACCTGAGTATACATTTTTGCTATTCCTTTCCATCCAACCCCCATCTTTATAGGTTCATTTCTGGAGGATTTGGTAAACATCAGATTAGAATGATAAAATTGTATATAAAATGGTCCTATTATAAAACGACTTCCAACAGAAAAAAAACTAACACAGTAACAACAACAACAAATAAACCACAATACTTGCTCATATCTGTAATGTTGACTGATTAGCAAATACTTATTGAGAACTTGATTGGGAACAATACTCTCAGGTGGAAACTCCAAACCTGTGAAAACATGCATCACATGGAAGCAAACCTCCGTACTTTTAGGCCTCCTTCCTCAGGGCTGTTCTTCATCTCTTTCTCAGTTCTTCCACAGCCACTATCCCTCAGACTCCCACAAACACGTTTTCTTATTTTGTCCAAGTGGGGGTAAATGTGTGTTTATACCAAATGAAATCTAAGACCTATAGCCGAATTACAAATACAGATGTGAATCTACCTCAGTTGCTGCGTTTTGATTCTTGCAACAAAGGTTCAAATTGACATTAGTCAAAAATAACTCAGGACCAAAGGTTCATATAAAAATGAAAAGTACTTCAAACTGTAGGGTTTGCCACTACCCCAATCAAAAGTTCACATAAAAATGAAAATAAATACCACCAACCATAGGGTTTGCCACCACCCCCAATAATTTTTAGTATCTAATCTATTAAATGCTCTCTCACCAAAATGGCTCTCAAGTTCTTTTCCCTTTCCTTTCCATACCCACCAAAGTGGATCCAACACCTACTTCTGAAAGAAGTATCTTTAATAAATAGTAAATAAACAAAATGTTAAAGACATGGTACTAAGAAACTGCATTATTTTCTTTTTTTTAACTTGGCTCCTAGCTTTCACACCATTATAACATTTTGACCTACTTTAAAAACACTTTTTCCTTTTTTTTTCCTGCCATTAAGAACTTCCCTGTCTCTCTAACTTAGAAACTAGATGATACAAACTTTATGCAGTTTAGACTACAAGTTTTTTTTTATTTTTTTTTTATTTTACTTTAAGTTCTGGGGTACATGTGCAGGTTTGCAGGATTGTTACATAGGTATACACATGCCATGGTGGTTTGCTGCCTCCATCCCCCCTCACCTACATTAGGTATTTCTCCTAATGTTATCCCTCTCCAATCTCTCCACCCCCTGCTATCCCTCCCCTAGTCCCCCACCCCCTAAGAGAACCCAGTGGGTGATGTTCCCCCCGCCTTGTCCATGTGTTCTCATTGTTCAACACCCACTTATGAGTGAGCACATGCAGTGTTTGGTTTTCTGTTCTTGTGTCAGTATGCTGAGAATGATGGTTTCCAGCTTCGTCCATGTCACACTTACTCTAAAACTGACCACATAATTGGAAGTAAATCACTTCTCAGCAAATGCAAAATAACAGAAATCATAACAACCAGTCTCTCAGACCACAGTGCAATCAAATTAGAATTCAGTATTAAGAAACTCACTCAAAACCACACAACTATATGGAAACTGAACAACCTGCTCCTGAATGACTACT